AAATAAATATAGTCTCGGTAAATTTGAGTACTGCAAATCGATAGGGTAAAGTAGGGTATATATATATACAACCACGATATTTAAGAACATACCCTAACAAATGGCCGTACGACTGAAACATTATGAACTTGAGCTTGCAACATTTGGTTTATACCTAATTACTTGGTGACAGCACCAGTGAATACTAAAGTCAAAGGCGTATTGTATTAGTTTACTACCACCTTACTAATTTTGCCGCATCGTTTCCAATCGATTACCCCGTGTAGGGTACGTTGAAAGATTATCACTAATAATTGTTTAAAAGTTAATTTAATTTTATGATTATGTATTAAAAGTTAATACATGCATTACCTTTTGCATCACCCTGAGCGGACATTTTAAAAATTATAAAACTGAAAATAACTCCCGGTCGGCAATATTGTCCCACCACGGGGTTGTTATTTAATGCTGAAACAATTATTATTTAACATTTAAAAAAGTGCACATACAAAAGTCAGTCAAGGAGGCGTTGTTCAGGTGGAAGACGTAAGTTCGAATACCGGAAACTGCGAAGTGCAATATGCACCCTTTCGGCGCACTTGACGACTTTTATTTGGAAGCTTAATAATGTAATAATACGATGAAACAGTTGTTGTTTGACACTTAGAAAAGTGTACGTACAAAAGGTAGTCAAGGAGGCGTTGTTCAGGTGGAAGACGTAAGTTCGAATACCGAAAACTGCCGAAGTGCAATGTGCATCCTTTCGGAGCAATGTCGCGTTCAGTGGCGGTGGTCTAGCGTAATGAAAGGGTTAAGCTTCTTGAAATAAATACGTATTTCAATGATTGATACCTAACAGATGTTTTTTTAACTCTTAGAAAAGTGTACATACAAAAGGTAGTTAAAGAGGCGTTGTTCAGGTGGAAGACGTAAGTTCGAACACCGAAAACTGCCGAAGTGCAATGTGCACCCTTTCGGAGCAATGTCGCGTTCAGTGGCGGTGGTCTAGCGTAATGAAAGGGTTAAGCTACTTAAAATAAATTCTTTTTTCTATGATTTATACGTACTATCGTTTCATCATCAATTATTTTTCCTTTTGCCCCGAGAGACTATTTGCGGGATTTTCATTCGCGTAAAACGAGTCCACGTGGAGGGGATGCTACGCGTAAATTGAGGGACGGGTGTGCATCTTTGGTTGAATTTTTTGTTCCGTTTTGTTTTTTTAGGGTGGTGGGCCAGGAGCGAAAGAAAGCGGCTAAGAAAAAATGGGAGGAGCGAAAAGGACCCCGAAAACGGGGCGCCAAGGTGTTTCGGGGTCCTTGGGAGGAAGGTGGGGTCCTTTAAAAGAGTCCCACGTGAATCTTTCCATTAAAAGTCCGAAACTAAACGGGGCCCTCTCTTCTCGTCTCGCGTTTCCCCTTAACGAGCGGATAATTCGCCGCTCGGTAAAGTGCATACCGAGGTATCCGGGAACCGATCCGAGGAAGGAGGACATTTTCCCTATAACCTCTGGTATTCCAGGGAGAAATCTCGGGACCTGTTCCCGGTAAGCAAACGCGCGTTAAGATACGCTAATTGAGAGATCTTAATTGGACGGACGGAACCCCCGAGTCGTCGACGAGGAACGATCGCCGATCGGAGATCAAGGAGCAATCTCGGATTTCGAAAGACATCCCGAACACGAGACTCTTTTCTCCAGTCCTCGAATATCGAGCCGAGCCGTGGAATTTCATTTAGAAACGGGAAGACGCTCTTCGGGGTCTTCCTTAAGGTCCAAACTCGCTTAGAAGTGGATGGGTAATTTATCGCAATTTCTTTCCGAGGAGGAACTCTCTATATATCCAAACCAAAACTGGCCAGGAAATTCCCAGTTGCACTCCAAACAAAAATTCTAGTTATCGTTACTGGATATATCCGAGTGAAATATTTCTGGTTATGAGAAATATTGACGTGAGAAAGTATGATTGACGCGGAAAAAATTGAAAGGACACGTTTAAGGATTTAATCCAGTGCTAATAATCGGAATTCCGGTTCTTTTAGCTGGATTTTTGGCATAGGAGCGAAATGAGACCAGGGTTCCTTTCCAGATCTCTCGATCTAGATTATGACACTTATACCGATCTTAAATTGTTAACCAAAAAAATTGAAAGGACACGTTTAAGGATTTAATCCAGTGCTAATAATCGGAATTCCGGTTCTTTTAGCTGGATTTTTGGCATAGGAGCGAAATGAGACTTCAGGGTTCCTTTCCAGATCTCTCGATCTAGACTATAACGATCCATGTATTCTCGATCATGGGGTGAGAACGACTCGCGAAGGGCGAGAATTTAACGGCTTCCAGGGTCCTTAAACTCCTGATTTCCAGATCAAGCACTCGAGGGGGTGCCAAGAAGCAGACCGGAATGGGGTGGCTTTCTTCCGTCCTCGAAGAAAGGAGGGCTTGGAGGATTTTTGACATTATTTGGGGGACCCTCCAGGACCCTTCGCCAGGACTAAATCAACCGTCGAGATTGGCGCGAAGGGTGCGTTGTTCGGGTCCTAATGTGTTCTCAACCACCTTGGCAAATAATTACGAAGGGAAGGGGCCCTGGAATCGAAAATACAGGCCGATGGTTTTCTCGCTTTCCGAGCAAGGCCTTTAGAGCGGTTTGTCTGAATGGTCCCGAAAGCCCATAGTCCTGGATCGCAGATCCTTCGGGAGATAAATGTGCCCATAATTATGAAAGTGGTCTAAGTCAAAATTGAAAAAAAATGAGTTTATCAGTTATTTCACGCCACATTATTTCAAACGAAATTAATTCAATGTAATTTCGAAACAAATAATATATGACTTAGACCACTTTCATAATTATGGGCACAAATCAGCGATCGAGTCCTTCCCTCTCCCAGACGACGAAGGGTTACTCACTCGCGGTTAGTCGTTCATGAAACTTTTCTCCGAATGGGGTGGTACCGCTTTGTTTCAAACTATACCACATGAATAAGGAGACCCTAAGGTAGGTCTTGAAGCTCGCAAAATTTCATTTGTTATTGCAATTGTTGAAAGTATCTATTATCTAATTATTTTATAATTGAAATGTCATGGGTTTCAGGACCTTCCTTATAGCCTCTATATTCCCATTGTCAAGTTTGAGACGATTCACGGTACTAACAGTTTGAAAACAAGTTTCATAAACGATACCTCTTTGACGTCACTTTCACATCTCCTTAAGGAGATGTGAATGTGTAATTCGAGGGGTCAATCGTTCATGAAACTTTTCTTCGAGTTGGGTCCACCGAATCGTTTCAAACTTTACATCGTGTGCAATTACCTATGAACAAATTTTTAAACATTGAAATTTCATGGACGTCAGGGCCTTCCTTATAGCCTCCAAATGCACATTGTCAAGTCTGAAACGATCGGTACCCTCAGTTCGGAAGAAAAGTTTCATAAACGAGACCTCTTCACGCCACTTTCGCATCACCTTAAGGTGGCATCGGAGGGGTCGATCGTTCATGAAACAATTTTCTAAACTGGGTGCCACGAATCATTTCAAACATTACAATGTGAACATGAAGGCAATAAGGAAAGTCCTGAAGCTCATGAAATTTCATATTTTATAAAAAATATTGAAAATATCTACAAACAAATTTTTTTTTTAATTGAAATTTCATGGACGTCAGGACCTTCCTTATAGCCTCCAAATTCACATTGTCAAGTCTGAAACGATTCGGTACCCTCAGTTCGGAGAAAAGTTTCATAAACGAGACCTCTTCAGGCCACTTTCGCATCACCTTAATGGTAACCGATTCTCAAAGGAAGACTTCGTTTCGACCGATTTCCGAGATAGTAGCCCCTCACCATTTATAAGGAAAAATTGGAAATAATTTGAAAAGAAAAAAAAAACGAAAATGTCTTCTTACCTTTCGCTTTGGTCTTCCGTATTCTCCTCCTTTCTTCGTTCACCTCCTCTCCTGAAATCTCGAGACTGATGGGGTATCCGGAAATGAGAAGTCCCTTGCATAGCAGTGTATGAGCGTGTATTTGACAGTGTCTCAGATTTTTTTTATTTTCCTCAGTTTTCACTTCACGTACGGCGGCACACAGTACAGAACTCGCGGTATGCGGTTTACGTTGGAATGTGATTATTGCTAGGCTGCGGCCGGGCGTGCATCGCTCGGTTGCAACGGTGCAGCAGCTCGTCGATTGCATTTATCCAAAGGGGGCCGTAAATCGAGCCGATTTGCATATCAGCCAATATCGATATTTAGCACTAATCGGTAAATACGCCCTGATACCCCTAGAAAAGAAATCCACCGAACGGAAGAAACCACTCCCGGAACATTGCCGAAGATAAATTATATCCTTAACTCGAAGAACAATTACTTGACCGATAATGGATCCAAGTAAATTCAAATAGATCGTGTCAGAATTCCGTGGAAACGTTGCATCCGATTTATTGGAGTTCATCCGAAGAAACGCCGTTTTTAACACTAGGTTTACGGGCGTTTTACATATACCTGTTTCTACGAGCATCCGTCAAATTGACGGGTAAAAGAAAACACGGTTTTTCTTTAAAAAATCGATTCATTCAAATTAAGTCCGAATGAAACGACACTAGGCTTTACGTTTAAATGAATGATTAATGAGTGAAAAGTCCATTTTTAAAAATTATCACGGAAATGATTGGAATGCTCGTCCTCTCATCCTCGGAGTCGGAACTAGAAAGAATGCGCATCCTTTTCTTGCTACGACACCCTTTCAAGAAGTTTTCCTCTTCACTATCCGAAGATCCTTCTATCTTTCCACCTTCAATGCAAACTTTCACTCTCATCTTCGCCTTACCCTCTCTGCAACGAAGCAAATATATATGGATTGTTTATGAAATTAACTAGTCCGTCAATTTGACGGGTTTCGTAGAGATAGGTATACCACATACAGATTTTAATAATCAGAAGGCTTAGGAAAAAATAATTGCGTGTACAAATTCTTCGGATGAAATGATTAATTTGCGATACAAAAATGGGTTAAAATTAATGCTATGGTTCTTTCGGTATTTCTTTCCGAAGTTTGAATTCCGTCAAATTGACGGGTCCCGTAAACCTAGTGTCAACTGACGAGAGACACTTCTTCGGTCCGTTGAAATTCATTTCTCGGTGCATAGGATAACGAGTACACGCACGTTACACCTGCACGTCGCACCGCCTGCGATCGAGTTATTTTCACGCCCAGGTACATCGACACATCGATCTCGAGAGGTATACGGGAGAGGGCTCGAATCGAAGCACCCAGTCCAATTTGATCATATGTGCCCATAATTATGAAAGTGGTCTAAGTCATATATTTTTTGTTTCGAAATTACATTGAATTAATTTCGTTTGAAACAATGTGGCGTGAAATAACCGATAAACTCATTTTTTTTTTCTCAATTTTGACTTAGACCACTTTCATAATTATGGGCACATATCTCACCGAGCTCCGAGTGGCTTTTACAAATAGGACAATAATTTAGGGGAATGTCTTACACCCCGAAGAGCGCGACGCGAGGAGGCCCCAGCGGCGGGCGCGACTCGTCGCCCTTTTCCACGTTATCTTCTCGTCTTCTTTCCTTTTTCATTTTCCGATTTTCCGTCGAGACTAGGAGCTTCGATCCGAAGGGGTCGGGAAGTACATGGATTGGGCGAGGTCAGGGTAAGAGTACGCACCTATGTTACAACGCGAACGGTGCTGTCGTACGTCGTACGTAACGACGTCCTCCCGAGTGTCCCTATAACGCGCGCTTCGGTATTAAATATCTTACAATACACATCGTCTTTCATATATTTACCTTTTATATATATATATATATAATATTTATACTTTACCTTGTCTCTTGTTTCTCGTGTTCGTCGTCCTCGTTATAATGTATACGTAACACTATCTAGCGTAGTCAGATTCTGGTTTCCCATCGCTCCGTGGGCTCTCGCGAAGTCCCGCAGTTCCTGGTGCCGCGAAGAGGTCACCGCGCCTCGTCCTTAGGGAAACCGAGACCCGGCGAGCTTTCCCGGCACCGCGGCAGACGAATAACCCGGGCTTCTTTCCCTCTTTTTTATCAGTTTTCGGCGTTTTCTTATTAAATTACAAGCGTCGGAGTGAGACGTTCTCCCTCGCGGTCGGCGCACCTCGTCGCCGAGGTCGAGGTCCGAACAGCGGTTGCTCGAGGCGGAAATACTTCTCTGGTAACTCGGTGTACAAAAGTACGTACTGGTAAGGTCGCTCGGAAAATGAGAGAATCGCTCGCGGGGTGGAAATTTCGTTGGGGGAAAAGGAGGACAGAGACAGATATGAGGCGAGGTGAGAGAGAGAGAGAGAGAGAGAGAGATAGGGACGGAGAAGGGCCTAGCCACGGAGAGGTCCCCGAGGAAGTCGCTCGGCCCTCCTCCGACGTCGAATAAAAATAATTTAAACTAATTACTGGCGATGAGTATTTTCAAGGTCCGCGAGGACCGGGGTCGGGAATTCGACTCTTCGGCTCGGTCGCCACTGGAGGTCGCTCCCGGCGGTCGAAGAGGTGGATGGGCGGCGAGGGAGGAGAAGAGAGATAGAGAGAGAGAGAGAGAGCAGCGTGTCGCTCCGGACACGCACGAGGGGTAAGAGTCGCGCGGGTGACGGTTCCGTACATTAGCTAGAGGTCTTCAATAAATAAGCTACCTAGGGAGCGGATCGGGGAGGGGGGCGCTCCTTAGGCGGCAGCCGAGGAGGCCCTCGGGCCGCCACCGCGTCATGTCGTACCTATATCCTAATAATACAGTCTGCGTTAGCGTCCTAGAGATATCGAGTCCATTGAACGGGGTATATCGTACAAGGCCGCGATGGCGGCCGGTGGAGGACGCCAGGCGGCCCAAGATGGCGGCGAGCGGTCCCTCGGCGAAGCGCACACAGCCAGCACACACGGGGCCGGGCGGCCCTTTCGGACGCCCGAGGCGACAACTGCGCGTACACACTACATAGCAGCATTAGCACAGCGTTTGGCGCGAGGGCCTAGCCCGCCGCGGGCCGACGCCATCTTGGTTCCTCTCCGACCCGGGGAGAGGCAGTCTTCGGGGTCGGCGGCGGCGGCTCAGTACTTGCCGGAGACCCCCACGAGGCGGCTCTCGGGCCGTCTCCGGGGACTGGAGTCCGCGTGGCGGGCCTGCCAGTGCCGGTGGCGCACCCTGTGGGCCCCCGGGCCCCTGGCTGGGCCTTGCGGCAGGGAGTTCTTGCTGGCCCGGGTCGAGGGCTCCGCCTTACGTGGCGCCGGCGACTCCGCCGGCGAGCGCGGCTCCCCTCCCGTGCTCAGCGTCAGCCGCTTGTTGTGGTTGGTGATGTTGAAGTGCGGGTTGTACTTTATGAAGTTGAAGCACCCCTGCCGCCCGTGGGGGTTCTTCATCGGGTTGCCCACCTTGTTGAAGCCGAGGTACCGCGTGCCCTCGACCGCGCTGCGGTACCTCAGGTACGCCCCGTTGTACTCCTCGTAGAACTGGCACATCGGGCCCCGCTGCTTCTTCAGCTAAACCCAAGAAATTCAATTTTTTTCAGGCTTGGCGAAGGCTATTGCATCCCCCGGACGTTTTTATATAACGCTGCTTCTACAGCTAAACCCAAGGAATTCAATTTTTTCAGGCTTAGCGAAGGCTATTGCATCCCCCGGACATTTTTATATACCGCTGTTTCTTCAGCTAAACCCAAGAAATTCAATTTCTTCAGGCTTGGCGAAGGCTACTGCATCCCCCGGACGTTTTTATATACCGCTGCTTCTTCAGCTAAACCCAAGAAATTCAATTTCTTCAGGCTTGGCGAAAGCTATTGCGTCCCCCGGACATTTTTATATACCGCTGTTTCTTCAGCTAAACCCAAGAAATTCAATTTCTTCAGGTTTGGCGAAGGCTATTGCGTCCCCCGGACATTTTTATATACCGCTGCTTCTTCAGCTAAACCCAAGAAATTCAATTTCTTCAGGCTTGGCGAAAGCTATTGCGTCCCCCGGACATTTTTATATACCGCTGTTTCTTCAGCTAAACCCAAGAAATTCAATTTCTTCAGGTTTGGCGAAGGCTATTGCGTCCCCCGGACATTTTTATATACCGCTGCTTCTTCAGCTAAACCCAAGAAATTCAATTTTTTCAGGCTTGGCGAAGGCTACTGCATCCCCCGGACGTTTTTATATACCACTGCGCCTGAGGAACCAACCATGCGTTTCATTCCCGACTTCCCCTGAGTCGGGGTACTTATCACGAGGTATCATACGAACGCGGCCGCGCGAGGGTTCCTTCGAGTCACCGCGAAAGGGTTAGAGGATCATCGGGGAATAAGTGAATCCTAGAGAATTACCAGGCCGACGAGTTTCCACCGCTTGTTGAAGCAGATGTATCGCTGAGTCTTCTCGGCGAAGATGTACAGCTTCCTGCTGAAGTCTTCGGACTGCGTCGTCAGCTTCTCTGTAATCGGAAAGCAGACAATCGGAGTGGGGACCACCGTGAGAAAGATCGGCGAGGTAGCCGAAGACGTTGCGCAACGGCGGCGCCAACGGCCGCCATCCCGAGATACTCGGCGGGGAACAAAAAATATTGTCCGTCTCAATTAGGGAAAAGTATGCGCACGCTCGAGCGGTCTTGCGAATGCGTTATGCTAATTGCGCGCGAACGAGCGGGAGAGGCGGTTACGTGAGAACGTCGACAAGCGCCACCGTGCGCGCACAATGACTTTGTTTCCGAGTCCCGAGGGCCTTAACTCATCTTCGAGGGCCTTAAGGTGAAGTGAAACACGTCGAGGACCCTGATCGACGCCGATATAGATTTTTCTAAATGCCTACGTTGCCGACGTTGGTTTTTATATCGACAGCTGTGTCGAATTATATTGGATATTGTACCAAATGGCATACTCCACCTGTCGTTTTCGTACAATCAATATCAAGAAATCGAAGTTAAACTCCAGAAATCCTCTGAATTCATGCTTTCTGGGGCCGTAATTGACTGCAGAGGGACCCCCTGCGCCATCTGTGATTTCCAGGTCAATTAAATTTTCACTCGGAGATCTCGTATTCCCATCGTTTTGGCATAGAAGCGCATACAACACTTTTTGTTGTCTTTATCCCGTTCAAATGCGAGTTTATCGATTACCAGAGTGTTCTAAACTGTCGTAAAATTGTCCTGACCCTTTCGATTCTCATATCGGAGCCCTCGATAATTGTATATCGATCGAAGTATGAGAGCTCGACGCCATTTTGTTTCTGGTCTGGGCTAAGTTAAAGAATTTTTTCAAAAAATCCAAATTTTCAATGTCTCAGGACAATTCTTAGATGATCATGAGTCATGTATCAAAGTTTCGGACAGTTTGGTCCAATACCCTTAAAAAAAAGTGTTGCATTCGAATCGACTGATTTGAAGGGGGTTTCACTTCACCTTAAGGTGACATAGAAGCGACGTCAAAGAGGTCTCGTGAAACTTTTCCCGGTGCGACTCGTTGAAATACCATACAACGCGAAAATGGAGGCTATAAGGAAGATCCCGAGCCTCGTATCAATTATTTCATAATTTCTTTCCAGACATTTCGAACATTTCTCTCATAAAGTATGACATTTCATGGGCGTCGGGACCTGCCTTTCAGCCTCCACATTAACGCTGTAAAGTCTTAAACGATTCGGCCCACCGAATTCGGAGAAAAGTGGAACCTCTCGCCACTTTCGTAACGCCTTAAGGCCTTTGGGGGTTTCCAGGACTCGCCGAGTGGGGCCCCACCGTCGACTGGACCCATCCCGGAGAAAAGCGCCCTCGCCACGAGTCGTTCCCGGATATTATATATCCCCCCCTTATCGCAGCGGAGGAAGAGATTGAATTCGGGGCCTCACAAGGCGCGACATTGTCGCCGGGGGATTAGTCCTACTTAGAGATAAACCCTTTAACGAGCGCGCACTAAACCGCCGCCAGTAGATAAATCAGGGCCCGGCAGAAGCGCGAGCACGGGCCCGGGATTAATAAAACACCCGAGTCCAATAAAACCGCGGTCGTTTCGCCCGATAGAGTCGTTATCGAGAGACGGACAGGGGAATTCTTTATTGGCGCGTAGCTGTCGGCGGTAAGATTTAGAGGGCCGTTCCCGGGGGGCCCGGAGACGAGGCCGCTTCCCCGAAACTCGAGGGGGACGTTAAAATTCGGATTTCGAGTCCCGAGCGCGCGGCTCGCGAGGGCTCCGCGCGCGGCGCGCCGTGCGAGGGAGACGGAGCGCGCGGCCGCGCGGTGAGTGCGAGAGAGACGCCACTAGGCTGGCCACGCCGAGGGTGGCAGCGCGCTGAGCCGCTCGGCCGGGTTTCTCGGAAGGTGAAACCCAGCCGTGGGTTTATGGCACGTCCGTCGGTTCGGAGGCATCGGCTCGGAGCAAAAGAAGAAAGACCGACTAGCGCGACTAGTTGGTGCTAATGAAGGAGACACAGACGGCCCGGTGTGTGCTCCGCCACTTAGCGGACCCTGCGAGCCTCGACCCCGGGGCCCGGGAACGAACTCGAGACGGATTCGCGAGGGAACCCTAGGGCCCATAGGGCCCGGAAAATTTCCACCTCGAATCACCCTGGAACGATACGAAACCGCGTCGAAACAAGTCCACGTCGAGTACCTCCGAATAGGGACGTTAAGGCGGCACGAAAGTACCATACGAGAAGTACTCGTTCAACATTTCTAATTACTGGGTGTACCGAATCGTTTCAAACTTGACAATGTGAGTATGGAGACTCTAAGGAAGGTTTCGACTATCATGAAATTTCATTTTTAATAACCCCTCGAGCCCTGAGGAAGAATCGGGGTGAAGGCACCTCTCCGACATCCGGACCACCGGACCTCGATAAACGCGAAGGAGCCTCGATCTTGAGGGAGACTTTGCAACATCGAACACCAAGAATATCCTCCAACTACCTCGTAAACCTCCTTCGAGCATTCTCCCCCTCTCCTGGCCAAGGGCACGAGGGGCCGAGACGAAGAGGTACGGCGACATCGAGAATCGATTAATCGCGTCTCTTCCCTTAATTAATTGAATATCCCTATCGGCCTCGATATCTCGGTCCCATGCATATCGATGCCGGCGCATTCATGGCCGGAAGTCGGCTTTTCTCTGCTCGATTTAACCCCCCGAGGGGGTGCTCGCGCGAACCAGACCAAGAAGAGTCGGGGAAAAGTCGAACATCGAGAGTCGCTTATCACGTCCGGCTCTCGCACAAATTGGACGATCGATTTCTATCTTACTACTATTTATTCCTTTTTATCGAAGTCCCGACGCGACAAATTAATGTGGAATAATATATTTTATATTCTGAACGAAGGTCATCGTTTTTCAGATTTTCGAGTGAATAGTCATACTCGAGATGCACTTTTGAGGCAGGGGGAAAAGATGCACTCCGTTAGGTGCACATACGTGTAAGTGCATATAGGGCTCGGCGGCGTTTGAAGGGCGTTACTTGCGCATCGCTCCTTTAAACAGCTTTTCCAGGTTTTCAAGTGAATAATCATACTCAAGATGCACTTTTGAGGCAGGGGGAAAAGATGCACTCCGTTAGGTGCACATACGTGTAAGTGCATATAGGGCTCGGCGGCGTTTGAAGGGCGTTACTTGCGCATCGCTCCTTTAAACAGCTTTTCCAGGTTTTCAAGTGGATAATCATACTGAAGATGAACTTTTGGGACAGGGAGAAGAGATGCACTCCGTTAGGTGCACATAGGTGCAAGTGCATGTCGGGCTCGGCGGCGTTTGAAGGGCGTTACTTGCGCATCGCTCCTTTAAACAGCTTTTCCAGGTTTTCAAGTGAATAATCATACTCAAGATGCACTTTTGAGGCAGGGGGAAAAGATGCACTCCGTTAGGTGCAAGTGCATATAGGGCTCGGCGGCGTTTGAAGGGCCCTGCTTGCGCGTCGCTCCTTTAAACGGCTCGTTGAAAGCGATTGGTATTATGTTTTACGATGAAAAGCATGTGCACGGTGCACGAGGAATTTATTCATGATACTCTTCGGCACGCAGCCTCCACCTCCGCCGAAGGAGCGATCGCGGCCTCTCGAGTCTCCTCTCTGATCGCAGCCGCCGCGAGATTAGAGGCTGCCAAATGAATTAAAAGCCAATTTTAATCAAAAGCGGGCACCGGCTTTTAGGCACGATTACCCCCCAATAATAACCGATGGGAGGGCCCGAAGCGGCCGGCGTAGATCCCGGGCCCAAGGAACGCAGGATCGGGCCCCATATATTACTTCTACGTATTCTCGCGGCTCCGAATCGCATTCGCGGAATGTGCATCGGTTCGCAACTATCCGACGAGAATTCACCACCCGATGCCCTGCCAAAGGAAAACCGACAGTGGCTTCACCTCCTGAAAGCGAAATGAAAAGCACCCCTTAAGTACTTCGTCGAGAAACTCAAAGGCGACTTGCATCGTTGCAGAACATGTTCAGATGGAACTTATCTCCGAAGAGGATCTACCGGACCGTGTCAAACCTTACAACCGTGAGATATCAATTTTTTTGCCAATTTGTTTATACATATATTAAAAATTTTCATTTGCAAGGGCTTATAGCCTTTATATTCATGTTGTGAAGTTCGAAACGATTCGATGCACCCAGTTCGAGAGAAATTGTCATTTTCGTATCCCCTTAACTCTTTGGCTACTAAGAGCGCCTAAAGGCGCCCGACGTTTGGTCCAACATTGCCTGCACGGTCAGACGAATTTCGCCCGTATGTCGAAATGGCTCCCTATGTGGAAATGGAAATGGTGGCGTGTTCAAAGGGTTAAGGGCCGTTGAAATTAGAATTCGAGAGGTAGTTTAGAGAAGTTGAGGGGCACTGTGGGCTCCGTCGGCGTTTTGGAGAGCCATAATGCAAACCGAGCACCCTGCCGAACGGGGGGTGGCTTTCTCGTTACGAAGGTACTCGGTGACCCTATCATTAACACCTAAAAGCGCGATAAGGCCGACACAGGTCGGAAGCCATGGGCCTATCGCTCATAGAGGCCCCTCGAGACGACAGGTGAAAAGCCTGGTTTGCAGCCTGACGCGGTAATTACGGCCCTGTACCACGAGTAATTAAATCTCAGCGGACTACATGCCTCCCGTCCGCGGATTCTGCGGATCCGGTTCCGCTTAGAAATTCGAAAAAACTGAAAGTACTAAATTTCCACACAAGTGTTTTTTCAGACCTGGCACTTGCTCCCGGTTTTAAGGTGAAGTGAAACCCCCCTCAAATCGGTTGATTCGAATGCAACACTTTTTTTAAGGGTATTGGATAAAACTGCGGATCCGGTTCCGCTTAGAAATTCGAAAAAACTGAAAGTACTAAATTTCCACACAAGTGTTTTTTCAGACCTGGCACTTGCTCTCGGTTTTAAGGTGAAGTGAACCCCCCCTCAAATCGGTCGATTCGAATGCAACACTTTTTTTTAAGGGTATTGGATAGAACTGACCAAAACTTTGACAGATGACTGGTGAGCACCTAGGAATTATCCTGACACTGAAAATTAGGATATAAAAAAAATATAAAATAACAAAATAAATAAGAAAGAATCGGCCGCCTCGAATAAGGCACTTTTTTTTAAGGGTACTCCACCGAACTGGCTTAAATGTTATCCCAATACTAGGTGTTTAGAGGAATCCTTTTTACCGACGTCGAGGGCATTTCTTGACGGGTTTCACGTCGCCTTAATTTCCCCGCGAACAATTAAGGGCGGAATCCCGTCCCACGTGGGTTAGGCAAATATCCGATGTGTTTTTTTCTTTTTTCTTCTCTCCGATGCATTTACATTTCAATAAATACGGCGCCGTTCGTATGCACGCAAGGGAGTTCCCGGACGAGTAACGAGGCGATTGGTGATCGGCGATTGCCGATCGTCGATCGGTAACGAGGGGCAAAGCTTTTGCCGCGGAGGGCCACGAAAATACCCGCTCGTTTACGCCCGCTTATTAGCATAGAAACGCGATCGTAAACCGGCGCGGGTGTAAACCCCCGTGTGCGTGTAAACCGCCGCGACGCCTCATCCACTTTCCCAACCGGCTACCAAGCCGCAGCCACGAAAAACACCGACCGCAGACCAAGGAAGTTCTGCCTTGTGCCGTCCATCCTGCATCCTCCGGCTAAGTGCAAAAGCTGGGAGAAAGGAGAAGCGAAGCTTCGATTTCGAGATTTCACCCTCTTCTCTTTCTATTCTGTTTAACCATTTTTTTTTACTTTTCATGCCATGATTTTTGTATCCAGGAATCGGGAGAGGAGGAGAGGTTGTACAATAGGAATTCTTTTAGGGAATCCTAGGAAGAGAGGAAAAGCTTCGATTTCGAGATTTCACCCTCTTCTCTGTGTATTCTGTTTAACCATTTTTTTTTAATTTCCATGCCATGATTTTTGTATCCAGGAATCGGGAGAGGAGGAGAGGTTGTACAATAGGAATTCTTTTAGGGAATCCTGGGAAGAGGAAAATGCAAGAAGAGAGGAAAAGCTTCGATTTCGAGATTTCACCCTCTTCTCTTTCTATTCTGTTTAACCATTTTTTTTACTTTTTATGCCATGATTTTTGTACCCAGGAATCGGGAGAGGATATATAATATGAATTTTTTAGAGGAATCCTAGGATAACAGGGGAATACTCAGAGAATGGAGATTCGAAGCACCGATTTCAAGATTTTCCTATTTTTATTCTAACCTTTCTATTGCGGATTTTTATCATCAGCGATCAGGATCGAAAAAAGACCTCGAGAAGATGGAGAGAATATAGGAATTCTTCGAGGAGGAATCCCGGGAAAAACAGGGGAAAGTCTCGGGAGTAATGCGGAGACCCGCGACAATGGCCCTGAAAACTGCCGGGAATCCGCGGAGGTCCTAGCCCGGTGCAATGGCTGCGATAAATAAGGCTGAAACGACCGGGTCTATCGACTGGTGCCAATGCAAGACAAACCGAGTCTAGTCGAAGACAATAGCCAAGGCGAGACGAGACGCGAGTCGTCGACCGGGGGCGAGACGAGCGTTTCGATTCCGCGACCATAATTCAGGATACTTCTATCGCGACCCCTGCACCCGGTAATCCCTGCTCATCCCCTGGAAGAAATCCCCGGATAACGCAAGACCACCGAGTGCATACGTAAAAACCCCCAGAAAATCCCAAACTAAAAGAAACTAGAACAATAAGTGTTCATCGAACCGCAGAAATACTTCATTTAACGGTACCAAAGAAACACCACGTTAATTCAAAGAATAATTGTTTCACTGACAATTAAATCCAGTGAATTAGACCCGACACGTTTATTCGGAATTGCGATAAGCTATTTCAGTCCAAATAATTATATTTCTTCGGTTCGATGAATTTCATTTTTCTCGGTGCAAGGAAATTGACGAAGTCGAGTCTTGTTCGAGAGCGATGCGCTTACTCTCGAATTTTTTAGGTTAATGTGTTTGGTCCCTTATTTACTGACAAAGGGTTGTCTAATTAGGGCTTTGATAAGCGTACTTACGATAAGGTGCGTGTTCCTCGTCTCCCACCATGGCCCTCACCGAGCGGCCGTTTACGGTAACGTTGCCGCTGCTGCAAGTCGAGTAGAGACTCACGGAGCGCACCATCGCCGGCACCGCCCCGCACATCACCACCTGCAATTGCGATGCATAAAGTCTTTACTTGCATCTCTCATTTTTCCCCGGGATGATCCCGAAATCATGGAGATACCGAAAATATTGGTATTTACATCCCGACATGTCGATTTTTTAACCACGATACCCTCAGTCGTCTACTCATTTCGATACTCCACGTAACCGCGGTGTCCTGTCTTATTTACAGCATTCGGGAATAAAAATAAGATTACACGATAAACAAATATAAAAATAACTCCATACAATTATAATCTAACCTTCAAATCACGGGATTTTCTATCAGCATTTCTTTATTTAAGAATCATGGAGTGACCGTTTACAATGAATTAATCGAATGCAATATGGAAACGCTTTCTCGTTACTGATAAAAACACATATACGCGGGTCGTGCTCTGATAAAGTTAAAAAATACATGAATAAATCCTGACCATTCGGTGAAAATATCGGAAGTATCGAGTGAATATCACTTTCCCTGCTTATCGGTGGTATTTCGTTTTTCGACACACCGGTGATTAAACTAAAGCGAAACCCCCCTGAAATCATTCGATTCAAATAAGACACTTTTTCTTAAGGGTACTAGATAGACCTATCCGAAACTTTGACACATGACTCTGACATGAAGTACCTAGGAATTACCCTGATACTTTAAAAAATTTGGAAAATTACGAAAACGGCAGATGGAGTATGCCATTTAGTACAATACCCAATATCATTCGACCGAGCTGTCAAAATACAAAAACGAACGTCGGCAACGTATTTCGAAAAAAAAAGTCTTCTTTACCGACGTCGATCAAGTTCCTCGAGGGGTTTCACGTCACCTTAAAGCATCGGTATTCTTTTGCCCGATGTCCCAGCACTGCTGGGGACTTCGGATGATAGCCAGGTAAAGGGAGCGCTCCTCATCTTCCCAACAATCTTGCGGTTTATTATTTTACGACCGGCGGCGCCGCCATAGTCGTTCGCGAATATCGCCTTCTCCTCGGCCTCGAGATGCGTCGAACTCCTCGGCGATTTGCAAACGACGCCTTTTGCCATTAGCGAGAGAAAAGTCCCCCGAAAACGCGAGGTCTCCCCCAGAGGGTCCTTATCACTCGCGCCAGTCTTGGCTGATTATAATCGCGAGAGAGGCGGAAGTCGCGACTTGAGCGATTCGCTGGCCGCTAATTATTTATTGGGCCCTCGATCATTACTCCATAGGTGGAGGATGCATAAATCTCGTTTGGCGAGATTCGAATCTGACCGCTTATCGGCCGGGCACGAGCTATTATCGCGATCGGTGATCTTGATCGGTTCTGGATCATCGGGCCCAGAGGAAGAAACACTTAGCCGCGTTTCCGTCGAACTTGGCCGTTCGTCATGGCGGTCCTCTTGCGTTTTATTGTTTTAACAACCAAATGACAAGACCCCCTTCCACAACCGATAAAGCGGGGTACCCTAAACCTCTCCGATATTAAAATATGAAATACATGGAAATATTAAGGTGAGTCGAAAGCACACCCCTGAAATGTCAATTTCTATACAAACGTTGGGAAATGTTTATAAATGAATTTTTGGAAACTGAAATTTCAGTTCATTCTATGTAACCATGATTTATTATTTTAATAACCAAATGACCGACCGATAAGACGAGATACCCTGAATCTCTCCGATATTAAAATATGAAATGCATGAAAACATTAAGGGTACATCCGAAATCTCGATTTTCACAAGGAGATTAAAAAGTGCTTGCGAATTAATTTTGTAAAATTAAAATGAAATTTCCTTTTCCACATGGTCAAATGTCAGACGAATGGGAACAAAATCATTCTCGAATGGGAGTGCTCGGACGCATGTTTCGGATCGCCTTAAGATATTAAAGTTATGTGCAATCTGTCTTCTGTGTTAATTTGAGTTAATTTAATCGGCATCGAGAATCGATCGAAGGGTCGCCGGGGATCGATGGATCCCGCTTCTGCGCAATGTGGGGTGCTCAGGTCGAGATCTCACCAGGAGCACTCGACGCTTGCTCCGATATAAATCGGCAAGGTGTAAACGCGTAGGAGCGCCGACGCCGATCATTAATCTGCGGCAGGTAGGCACGACGCCAACGTAATCGCCGCAGCTCCCAGCACGCGATTCTCACCAGGCCGGGGTTATCGTCGATCTGACCCAGTCACCCTGGAGGCTCCTTCAGGGTGTTATAGAAGTCGCTAAATCCTCCGATAAATCCCCGAAAATGTATTAAAGCTCGCAGGAAAACTCGAAAAATGTCCCGAGGGTATAAAAACAGATTTTCTTAACGATAACTTGGTGCATGTCAAATGGGCACACCCCATCAAGTAGCACAAAAAAATGATCACAGTCACCCTGGAGGCTCCTTCAGGGTGTTCCAGGAGTCGCTAAATCCTCCGATAAATCCCCGAAAATGTATTAAAGCTCGCGGGAAAACTCGAAAAAATGTCCCGAGGGTATAAAAACGGATTTTCTTAACGATAACTCGGTGCATGTCAAATGGGCACAGCCCATCAAGTAGCACAAAAAAATGATCACAGTCACCCTAGAGGCTCCTTCAGGGTGTTCCAGGAGTCGCTAAATCCTCCGATAAAGCCCCAAAAATGTATTAAAGCTCGCGGGAAAACTCGAAAAATATCCCGAGGGTATAAAAATGTACTTCTTAAAGGATAAGTAATTCGTTAGTGCACCTCGGATAGATACTCACCATCAGGAGGCACAAAATCTTCGCTAAGACGGCAAGCTGTGGTAACCTGGAACAGAAGAGAGGACTGTTAGCTCGGTCCTCCAGGTCGACGGATCGAGGAAGGGAATACGTTTATACCGCAGGGCACGACAAGGTAATAAGGAAGGGCGAAGCTTTTAAGCGCCCGAGAAGATCATCTCGGAGAAGATACCGAAGTGCCAAGCCTCGGAGGAGGTTCCTCGGAAGGAAGGGTTAACGAGAGAGAGTCCTGCCGAGTCGGGGTGATCGCAAAGAGACGATGACGAACGCGCGCCGCGTATTCTCACGCTGTCGAAGCCGAAGACCATGTCCCCTCGTCGTCGATAAATAATATATTTATAACTAATTGCGGGAAGGAAGAGCGGCGTAGAGCCTCAAAGGGACGAGCCGCCCTTTGCCTCTCCCGGTTAAGGTGATACGAAAGTGTCTTCCGAGTTGTCACGTATATAAAACATTTTTCCGAACCAGGTGTATCGAATCGTTTGAAATTTTCCCGCGGGAATTGTTTTTTTTTTTATTATTTCTTATCTTTCTACAAAAACCGAAGTTTCGCGAGGGTCGAGATATTTCTTAGGGCCTCCACCCTCGCGTGGTGAAGCTTGAAATGGTTAGATACATCGAGCTCGCAGGAAAGCTTTATTAACAATTGCTCCTGTAGATGGCACTTTCATCCCGCCTTAACGAAGGTTGGTCCTGGAGAACGCGATCGGCCAGGACGAAACGAATCGTCATGGGCTAACCTCAAAGATTTTCGCCAGTTAATTGGACGGGATAAGATTGCTAAACCCCAGGCCGTAGTTCTTCCTCCCTGGGGATTGCAAAAGTAATAATAACCCAGTTCGCGAACTACCGGCTCGGCACGACCGCCGTGGAGTTGCGCAATCGCCTCCGTTACCGGAGAGCACAGGTAAACCATATACACCTGCACCTCGACAGACCACGAAGGAACTTTCCTTAAACTATTTCCTACCATCGGCCTGCCACGTAGAAAACTTATTCACAGTAATGAGAATCGTGGAATCCATTTCTCCTCGTCCATAACTACTCCAAATACTAGTAATACTCTAAAACGTATGATTTCACGAAGAGTGCCGGATTTACTTAATTTCCTTTTCTTTCTTGCAGTTTTCAGTCACACCGCGAATCCGATCAGGGTTTGGATAATAGGAAAAATAATTCACAGTAATGAGAATCATGAAATCCATTTCTCCTCGCCCATAACTACTCCAAATACTATAAATACTCCAAAACGTGGGATTTCTCGAAGAGCGCCGGATTTACTTAATCTTCTTTTCTCTCTCGCGGTTTTCAGTCACGCCGCGAATCCGATCAGGGTTTGGATAATAGGAAAAATAATTCACAGTAATGAGAATCATTGGATAATAGGAAAAATAATTCACAGTAATGAGAATCGTGAAATCCATTTCTCCTCGTCCATAACTACTCCAAATACTAGTAATACTCTAAAACGTATGATTTCACGAAAAGTGCCGGATTTACTTAATTTCCTTTTCTTTCTCGCAGTTTTCAGTCACGCCGCAGATCCGACCAGGGTTTGGATATTAGGAAAAATAATTCACAGTAATGAGAATCATTGGATAATAGGAAAAATAATTCACAGTAATGAGAATCGTGAAATCCATTTCCTCGCCCATAACTACTCCAAATACTATAAATACTCCAAAACGTGGGATTTCTCGAAGAGCGTCAGATTTATTTAATTTCCTTTTCTTTCTCGCGGTTTTCAGTCACGCCGCGGATCCGACCAGGGTTTGCATTCCGGATATGAAAGCGTCCATTCGAGCAAACGTCGCGGAACAATCGCGCGGTCGACCCGCGGCGAATCGCGCTCGGCTCGGTGGAAGTCCCGTCTCGAGTTTCACGATTTTAAGGTGATATGAAAGTGAAAGAAAATAATTGCGTGTACAAATTCTTTGGATGAAATGATTAATTTACGATAAAAAAAATGGTGAAAATTAATACTACGGTTCTTTCGGTATTTCTTTTTGAAGTTTGAATTCCGTCAAATTGACAGGTTCCGTAAACCTAGTGTTAAGGTGATATGAAAGTGAAATAAGAGATTCTTTTATACGAGCCCTCAGATGCCACTTTCATGTCTCAATTATCGAGCCGTGCCGAGTTCTTCAGCCTCAATTGTTTAACCCTTTCGTTACCTTGGACGAGATATCTCGCGACCCGATACTGGCCGATTNGGGTTGCGAGATATCTCGTCAAAAGCGTTAATCGGCCAGTATTGGGTCGCGAGATATCTCGTCCAAGGTAACGAAAGGGTTAACCCTGCGTTCCCGGCACGGCGATAACGCACCCGCGAGAAAGTCGGGGATCGGTTCCGAGGACCGATCTACTCCCACGGTCGAAGAAGAGGCGGTCGGTCCGCTTTTCGAGAAATCCCGCGAGAGTGGGATATATACGGACGTCGGGAGAGAAGTTGCGCAAACGCGGCTCGCCCGGTACCGAGAAAAGAGGTGTCTAACTGAAACGACCTCGTGGGCGCCAGGACGGATTCCTGAAAAAAAATTCGAGGACCGGCTCGACCTCGGACGATCGCCGAGCCGTTTCATTCTCGATTTCTCCAGGAAAGGGGACGAGTATCAGAGAACGGATTCCTGGATTTTCCATTTTTTCTTTTTCTTCCTTTCCCCCCTCGATTTTCTCAAATCTCACGTACTCGGACGTTTCATCGGACACCTTTGATCGGGGGATTTCCTCGGGGACGAGGAAGGTTTCTTTTTTTATTCTCAGGGCACGGACTCACCGCAAGGCAGGGCTCATCTCTGCGAGCCTCCAAGAGGGCGGCTCATCCCTTCGTCGGTGATCATCGGCGATCGATCAGCTGATCGACTCCGCGACCGACTCACTGCGCGCCGTCCGATCGAGCGATCGCCGGATCGCGGATCGTTTTCCCTCGGCGCGACATCCGCCTCCTCGAGTTTCTAAACCGCAGACCCGGACACGTCGGCGACGCGGATCTATCGCGGATCGACGTCGACGGAACGCGGAGCCGGTCCGCGCGAGATCGACACCGGGAATGGCGAATAATCCGAGAGGATCCTTCCCCGACACCCCGGCACGTGGGGGCCCGCCTAAAAGGGATTTCAGTGGGGATTGTCGCCGTGTGAAAAACCGCCAACACTTGAATAGGCCGCCGGATGAAAAACGCGGCTCCCGACCTCGCCGGCTCTCCTCAGCTGGACCACTTTGTGTCCCGCCTGCGGATGCCTCGATCGCCGTCGAGGATATCTCTCCTCCGACTCGAGGACGCGCACTTATTGTGTGGAGAAAAAGCACGGGTAATTGCGCAGCTAGCGTCGCGACGCTCTGCCTCGATACTCCTAGGCTGCCGTGTTTTGGTAACCCATCATTTTTCCTTTTCTTTTTTTTTTTTACATAAATTTTACCAATTTTTCCTGATTCCAGGAATTTTAACACTAGGTTTACGGGCGTTTTATATATACCTGTTTCTACGAGCATCCGTCAAATTGACGGGTAAACGAAAACACGCATTCTCTTTAAAAAATCGATTCATTCAAATTAAGTCTGAATTAGACAACACTAGGCTTTACGTTGAAATTAATTATTGATAAGTAAAAAGTCCTTTTGTTAAAAATTATCACGGAAATGATTGGAATGCTCGTCCTATCATCCTCGGAGTCGGAACTAGAAAGAATGCGCATCCTTTTCTTGCTACGACACCCTTTCAAGATGTTTTCCTCTTCCCTATCTGAAGATCCTTCTATTTCTCCACTTTCAATGCAAACTTTCACTCTCATCTTCGCCTTACACTCCCTGCAACGAAGCAAATATATATGGATTGTTTATGAAATTAGCTAGTCCGTCAATTTGACGGGTTTCGTAGAGATAGGTATACTACATACAGATTTTAATAATTAGAAGGCTTAGGAAAAAATAATTGCGTGTACAAATTCTTTGGATGAAATGATTAATTTACGATATAAAAATGGTTAAAATTAATGCTATGGTTCTTTCGGTATTTCTTTTCGAAGTTTGAATTCCGTCAAATTGACGGGTCCCGTAAACCTAGTGTTAAGAATATATAAACAGTACGAGTCTTAGGAATTTTAGGGACTTCATGAACTTAGGAAGTTAATGCATCTCGCGAGCCTTAGGAATCTTAGAAATCTTGCGGGCTTCAGGAATTTTCATCCACGTGCAAAGAACTGCTGCACAGAGTGCGCAACACGCATAGAAACAATTCAAGTCATTGCACTGAAAAGATGCACCGACTCGCCCAGTCGATCTAGATGATGTCACCGATATTAATTTCACTGGTCTCTGGAAATTCCTCTGGATATTTAGGAAGCACTTTTCCTAAACAAAGGTCTTTCGTAATCATGTCTTCGATAAAATTTAAGACATCTTCGTTGTCGTTGCAATTGTCAGGGTAAAAGGGGTAGGAACTTTATCCGTTTTTCGCCAGAAGTGCAAGTTTTAATTTTTCTCTACGGGGGCGTAGGTGTCCCCGTCAATTTGCTTCACGGCCGGGTGCCGAGACGACCTAGCTTCTTCACTTTCCTCTTTTCTTTATTTCCTNTATACAGAGAATATAAATACGATGTATACGGTCGTTCGCGCCATTCAGGAGAAAACGGGAGGCCACGCGCGTGTCCGCGCGTGGTACCGTAAAATCCTCTTTCAATCCGAACGCCCCTAGACTCGTTTTACGACCGACACGGCCGAGAACTACTGTCGCCCCCGTCACGGCAAAGGAAGGACATCTTCATTGAGTAGTAGACCGCGAAATCGACCATCAATGGGCCGAGGGACCATCGGCCCGATTCTTCGAGTCACCCGGTCCCCGCGTGACAATGGACCAAAAGCTCTTTCCCTCTACAAAGAAGGGCCACATCTCTTCCTCATTAAAAGTCAATTTTTACAAACATCACCTCCCCATCTGCTAGTAATTTTCCATAAATACGTACTTAATAAAAAATCAAGTTAAACCCCGATTCTTCGAGGAACCCCGCGTGACAATGGACCAAAAGCATC